GAGGCTACGAAGACTGAGATTCTCCAGCAATTTGGATCTCTGTATGTCTGGCCTGTATATATTTTTTTTTTTCCACTTCAGTGCTACGTTTTAGACTACATAACAGCATTGCAGTTTGCCAGATTAAGATTAATTTTGCTTTTGTTGTAAATTCTGTCATCAGTCACTTCTGAGAAGCTTTGCTCTAGTTTGCTTGTGTTTCTATTTGGATGAGTACACTCCTTTTTAATAAAGCTTGAGAATATTTCCAGAGGCAGCTGGCTTTACAAATGCTGTGAGGTTTTTTCTTCCTTGTGTCGGTTTTCCACACTGGCTTTCCAGTGGGATTTATTCTGTACTTTTGAAAGCCTGCTTTCATGGAACCAAGTATAACTGTAGGTGTGTGTAGAGGACTTCGGGCCCAGTTGCTGCCCCATTAACTCGTTTGCTCTTGCTTCTGTTGCTATGGGCTTTTTCCTTAATGACTTACTTATCCCATAGGGTAATATATGCTGGAGTACTATACTCTGTTGGACATTTAACTCCTGTCTCCCCATTTTTTTGTTTGCTCTAGCTCTTGGGCAGGCCTAGGCCCTCTCACAACGTGAGGCTGTGTAACCTCAGCCTTTCCTGTGCTGAGTCCATTTTGGGTGCTTCTGTCTATTTGCACGTTATTTATGTCACTGAAATGTTTGAAGACCCCTGTTTTGTTCTTGTTCTCTGTGACCTCACTGCACAGTCACTGCTTATGCTAACAAACTGTTGAGTTTTTTTTTTCCTTCATGATACTCTTCCTCTGCCCCCCCGTCCAGCGTTCCCTTCTCTTGCCACCACTTGACCTTGCCTTGCTCTTGTCTCCCTGTGCCCTATTTCAGGCGCTTGCATGCCTTCAACTTCTGTTCTGTGCTGATGACTCACAAATGCACTCGACACCTCTGACGGTTTGTCACCCAGTCCAGCAGCTGTCTTTGTCCTCGCCTTTTTGATTTCTCCATAACTAGTCGTTTAATATTTCAAGCCCCAAACCCCTGATGGTGCTTCCTACGTTCTCTTTATCTCTCGTATGGTGCTTCCTACGTTCTCTTTATCTCTCGTATGGTGCTTCCTACATTCTCTTTATCTCTCGTATGGTGCTTCCTACATTCTCTTTATCTCGTCTTCTAAAACACTGCCACCTGATAGGTAGCTCTGTCCCAAAGCCTTTGTGGTTTTTATTTTTTTTAATTCATTTGTTTTACTTCATGTGCTTGGATGACAATGCAAATTCTGCGTACTCTTTATTGTAAATATATTTCTCCTTTTCTAGCTCATCAGACAACTTTTCTAATGCATGTAACAATGCATTACAGATGTTTTACTTCAAAGTGGCTGTCCTGAGAAATTCTAATTCTGAAGGTAGTTGATAGCGCTTGGTTTTAAAGATGGCGTTAAGTATTTTAGTTCCACTCTGAGAAGGCAGTTGCCCTCATTTTGCTGTTCTTTATATTTAGCAGCCCAGATCTAGCTGTTCCAGACAAGTGGAATTCATGGCATCCTAGCCGAATGAAATGACAAAGGATACGTATACATCATAGATGTTAAAATACCCAATATAAAACTGTCTGTAAGTGAGCATAATTCATGAGCCTTTTAGCCTGGAGAAGGGTTGTCTGCTTTATTTAAAATTGCTAATCCTTTCCTTGTGCTCCTTTTAACTATACTATTGCTCATACAGCAAACCCAAACTCAGAATTGGGAAGGTTTTTCTAATATGCTTATGTGACTGGAAAGAGACATAGAGAGTTTTAAGGTGACAGAAACAGTCTCAGACTGCTCAGCAGAGATTGCTTTTACGCAGGTTCAGGAGGCCCAAAGACAAACATCCTAGTGGGTGCAAGTATGGTTTTGCTTTTCCTCCTCTTTCAAATACCACAAATTTATCAAGCCTTGGTTTTCCTGGGTTGTGTCACGGGTTCCAGGGAACAGTGGTGAAGCAGACTCACTGCTCTATCACACTTCCAAGGAAGAGGAGAGTGTATCGGGGTACACCCACCAGCCGTCCAGAGGTTGTGCAGGGCTGTACGTGCTGTTGCTGGAGTAACATCAGATACTACCAGAACAATGTGTAGGAATGACTGTCCCCAGTAGACTTACAGTCTCAGAAACTCAGTATTTTCAGTTACCCTCTTAGACCTGTGAATGTATACAGGCAATTTGTGTAAATGCTGTGTATTTTAATGTCCTCTTTCTGCACTTCCTAGAGGCACACACCCCCTCAGGTAAATAGTTTGGAGTCCCTGGTACACAGTAAGCTACACAGTGTTTTTTAACACTGGGCTGTGCTCAGAAAACATGAATAATGGATGCCATCTTTCCTTTATGTTGCGTTATAACAGGAAGATTTAAAATGTTGCGTAATGTTGTGACGATGGAAATAGTTTTAAGCAATACCCAGAAGCACCACTTGAGGATCTGGCCTGTTTTTCAAGGGAATAATTTAAATGTTCTCTCAGAGATGAAGGTGGGAGGTGGCTGTTTGGACTGGAGGTATAAAGAATTAGTGATATATCTTTCAGATTTAAAGAATACAGCTAATGCCTTAAATCTATGCCTCACGGTAGACTTAACACAGGAAACTCCCTTGCATGAGAACAGTGGCATCTCATCGATAGGATTAATCTTCAGATGTTAGGTTTCTCCCATGTTAAAAATAGAGCACTTACTTCTTCTGAAATGTGATAAACATCTGAACAAAATGTTTATATATTTAGGAATAATGAAAGTACTCTGAATGGCCACACTTTCAAGAATGGTTCTTGTAAAGATAGTAAAGATAGTGAAAAAATAGAGTGACAGTGTAGCAAGGTGTATTTTTTTTATTTAGTTGATACTGCTGTGTATGTGAATCTCAGTGTATGCTCTGGGACTCTCATGCAGTCCATGTGTTGGTGAGGTGGTGTTCTGCTGATAACCCGTACCTCCCCAAGTAATCTTTGTTTGTCTGTTGGGTCTATATGCATGTGATACGATGTGTGGGTTCTGTAGGAAGCTATCCAAACTTTATTGGTACAATTCTTAGAATAAACCCCCTTGTATAGCTAGTACTTGTTTCCTGGTCATTAGGTAATCATGGTTTTGAAAACAGTTAACCCTGCTGGAACCAAGCCACACATAAACACTGCTGTAAGGGATACATCATTGTTTTGTGTGCATGAGGAATAATTATCACGATGTTTCAGTAGGCGATGAAGAAAATACAATGAATGCAAATCGATGTGGGAATTCATCCCCTCTCCAGCCAAAGCAGTGTGGTGTGAGGCTCCTGAGTGCCTGAGCCCTGTCCGATCTTCCCTTGTATCAGGTGTGTCGATGATTGTTAGAATAGATGGGAACTTGTTTTCTCACGAGTTCACTTTATACTGACATCTTCTGTTTGGATGAGTTATTTTCCTTGTCTGTGCTAAGGAGTATTATTTTGTTTCAGCTTAAGGACTCTATCTGTAACTATACAGCTTTGTCTGTGTGGGATCTCGGATGTTGTTTAAATCTATTCCCCAATTAGCACTGAAGAGATTTCTTGTTCTTAGGAGTAGCTCATTCTCATATAAAGCATGATTACGCATGGGTGTGTTTTCTGAATCTCTTCGTCAGATTGATCTGTAGCCAGGAAGTCTAATAGCAAAATGAACTCTTATAACTTCTAAGTCTGTATTGCTGATGGCAGATTCTTTTTTAGTTCTGAATCCTTAATGGCTTTGCTTGTCTTTGAGGTAGCAGTCTATTTCAAGACAACCGGAACTTTTTCCCTTTAGGCAGTGATAGGAAATAAGATATGGACTGGATGGTGCCAGTAATAAACTTACTTATTGCTCAGAAGAAATGGAGTAAGTACTAGGACCATGTATCACAAATCACAAGGCCTGGTCCTCGTGATTTCAGTTGGTTTGGAATCAAGTCCTGAATGGAAGGACCTGTGGAGATGGTATGGGGAAGCTGCTGAACTTGTCATGTGGGATGCTTGAAATTTTTTGGGGACTTGGTGGGCTATTTGTCACTTTTGTTGTGTTGACTCCTGGGATATTAGACTGTAGGAAAACAAAAAGGACAGTACTTTTGGTTGAGGAGAAAACCATAGGCAGCCTTGGGGAGATGGGAATTTTCATTTAAGAAGCCGACGTAGTGAAAAGTCGTGAGAACCTGAACTGAGACAGTATGAATCAATGTATGTAACTTTGCTAATATCTCTCTTCCCTGATTGCTCATTGTGCTTGCTAAGCTCTTCGTGGGAAGGAGCTTATTCTCTGTGGGAAGTTGTGTGAGTTTTTAACTTGTGAGGGATCTCTTCCTCAGGATGACTGTTCCCAAGGCATCCTCTTCGCCATCATCCAGGAGCTCAGGAACAGCCCGGGAGGAAGAAAGCCACCTTTTCAGTTGCTAGCGCTGCTTCCTTTATCTCTAGGTTTCCTTGGCAATTGAAGAGCAAAGCTGAGTTTCTACTTCCCTTACAAAGGTGACGGCATACCCAGCAGACCTGCATTGTGTTTTAGGTAGCTTGTTAAAGACTCCTCTTCCACAGTGAGGAAAGACTTGCCAGGCTTGCTCTGTACTTCAGGAATATGGGAATTACCTGGGGGAGGGAGCAGTCTGTCCCCTGCTGAGGTGCTCACCTGATCCTAGCAGGCCAAGCCTCCCATCTGCTCTATGGTAGTTTTGGTCATTATAGCGGAAGCTCAGTGTGGTTGCAAGTTTGGATGCTGTCATTACCCATTAAGCTGCAGCTTTTCACCATGTAAGAGCATCGTAACAAGTGCTTGGTCAAAACAAAACAAGAAAATCATCACTATAAGCCTTATATAAGGTGTGTGGGGAGAAGGCTTTCCCATTCCACCCGAAATCCAGTTTTGAAATGTTGGAGTGTTGTTACCTGTGACCAAAAAGGGTGAAGCATATTTGTGCCTTTGGTCACCATCTCTTCTCATTGGCTTGCAGTGTTGTAACTGCCTTGTATATCAGATAGCTGTCACTGGCCGTCCTCGGGCGATGCTTCCAGCTTCATGGATTTTGGCCAATGAAGGACTGCCACAAGCCTGCTGAAGGTATGCTTGACATCTTTTTTTCATTAAGAGAGAAAATCAGTCATAAGTTCAATAGGAATTATCCTGTATGCTTTATAGAAATACTGTGATATAGTGTAGCAGGCTGCTAGTCAGCCAGTCAGAGCCATCTAGTCTGTATATCAAAGCTGGATGTGCGTGTGGCTGAAGATGGTGCTGGTGCATATCTCTCTTTCTCAAATAACATCATACGGAATGAACTTTTCAAATTCTGTGTTCCTCTGTGCCTCCTCTAAACTGTACTGAAACTAAGCTTGTGTTGTGCTGTGTGGGTGAAGTCTTTTGGAGTAGCTGTAAGATGGGGGGGGCATACAGCCCTCTCCATATTCCTCCTGGAAGGGGGAGTAAGGACTCTAACTCTGCTTGCTCCTCCTTTCACCATTGCACTGTGTAGAAAATGCAGATACCTGTTTTAAGATGGGATCACTTAAACTAATTCCTAATTCTAGCTACAACAGTAATCTGCCAGTTGCAATAGGGGACAACCTGGATTTAGGGTTTTGCCAGCTCTTTATTGCCAGTTGTGTGTGTAGAGGTTGGGTGCTATTGGTTTTCTCAAAGTGGTAAATAACATACTGCAGGGATAAAAAAAAATTACCTTGTGACATTGTGGAAAGAGAGTTGCTTTAGAGAAAAGGAAGTATTAGGTTAATGATGAAATAGAATTGGTTAGTGTTTAATATCTGGAAAAAAGGGCCCCCCCCCCCCCCCCCGTATTTTTTTTTTTTTATTTGGTTGAGAAAATAACTCAGATTAGTAGACTTTTCTTCCCTGTATGTTTTGGTTTAGCTCCCGTCAGCAACTAAGCACCACTCAGCCACTCGGTCACCCTCCTCACCCCCTTGGTGGGATGGGGGAGAGAATTGAAAGAGCAAAAATAAGAAAACTTGCGGGTTGAGATAAGAACAGTTTAATAATTGAAATAAAATTTTAAAAAATAAGTTGTAATGAAAAGGAATACAACAGGAGAGAGAGAAACAAAACCCAGGAAAGAAACAAGTGATGCAGCTGCTCACCACCCACTGGCTCATGCCCAGCCTGTCCCCCAGCACTGGTTGCAGCTCCCTGTCCAGCTCCCCCCGGTTTCTATACTGAGCATGATGTCATATGGTCTGGAATAGCCCTGTGGCCAGCTGGGGTCAGCTGTGCCCCCTCTCAGCTTCTTGTGCACCCAGCAGAGCATGGGGAGCTGAAAAGTCCTTCACTGGTGTAAGCCTTGCTTAGCAACAACTAAAGCAGCAGTGCGTTATCAATGTTATTTTCATACTAAATGCAAACCACAGGGATATGCTGGATACTGGGAAGAAAATTAACTCTACCCCAGCCAAAACCAGGACAGGGTAGCTGTCTGTAACCTCTGACTCTACCTTGGGCGCTTAAAAGCCAAAAAGGGGTGTATTTTCACGCTAGCCACCTGTGAAGCTTCAGTACCTCCAGGCCCAGCGTTTCCGTGCGACTCGGTTGCAGGCTTCTGAAATGTGAAAGTGCGTTACCGAAATTTTCTGGGGCAATAGCCTGGGCGCGGGCCATCGGCCGCAGCTCGGTCAGCTTAAACCAGCTGGCGGCGAGCCCCTGCAGCCCCCGCTCGGGGACCCCGCGACTCCGCGCTGGGGTCCGTGTGTCCCCGTCCCCCCCGTCCCGCCGCTTCCCCGCCCCCGGGGGGTGAGTACCGCTGGCAGCCCCCCGTTTCGGCCAAAATCTCCAGGTCGTGTCGTCTTTTGTAAGCAGGTGAGAGAACAGTGCGGTAGGCTTCCGGGCTTGACCGGTTTGGGTCGCGCAGTGGAAGCGCGGCCAACATCTCAAACTGCTTTTTAAATTGCCATCAGTAAAAGGGGAGAGATGGGAGGCTTGTGCTTTTGAAGCTTGGAAGTTTTGCTCTGTGTTTCAGGAACTCTCTTCCTCCCCTCCCCTCCCCCCCAAAAAAAGCTTCTGTGCGTTTTGTGGCGAGAGCAG